CTCTTTTTTTTTTTGATTGTTGTTGTCGCCTCCCCGCAACACGACGTATGCACCGTCGTGACGAACAGCGGCGTGGGGCAGACACCCGCGTGGGGTGCAAATGTGGCAACGAAGAAGCCAGAGATAAAATGATGAAGGGCCTGCGGAGGCAGACGCAGCAACGTTAGTAACAGCGGCGCGAGCGCTTATTTATTGCTTGCGGCATTCCCATCAATAGATGTAAATAAAGTATGAAAATGTGAGGGGGAAGAGGCGAAAGATGAAGAGAGGAGGAGGGAGACGACAGCAGGAAAGGAACGAAAACAAAAAAAAAGTGTACGTGGCAAGAAAAAAAAAAGAATGAATATGTTTACGTGTGTATCTGAGTGTGCGTGTGTGTGTGTGGGGGGCGTGTGTGTGCAACGGACCCCGATGCGATTCGGCGGCCTCGTGAGCGGCGCGTGGAAGGCGCAAGCGCGAACCTGAATGGGAGGGAGCGGGGCGTCCCACCCAACGCGGGAGAAGTACGGAGAGGAGATAGCTGTGAAAACGAAGAAAAGATGTAAGTGGTACGGGGGACAATGCATGAAGGAAATAAAGTGGCACTAAGGTGTACACGTGGTCTTGATACCGTTTTTTTCCCCTACATGCTACGTGTAGCTCTGTTGCCGCTTTTTCTTTTTGTTTGTTTGCATCAGTGTGTGTGTTTTTTGGCGTTTGTTTCGTTAAGACAATACGGTTTCCTTTTTATTCTTCTTCAACGCGTGAATGCGACGGAGTTCGTCACTCCGTATATATATATATATATATCTACATCTATATCTACCTACCTATACATATATATATATATATATATATGTCTTGTCTGTATGTGTGAAACTGTGGGTATCTGTGTCTGTATCTCTGTGGACGATTCTTTGTTTGTGGTTGCGTGTGTCTCGCTGTTGGCTAACTCTTTTGGTGGGTGTGCACGGGTGTTCCTCACGCCTCGCCACGGGTAAAAGGGGGAGAGTGCGGGGATGC